GACAACTTTGCATTGACCAAAAATTTCCTATGTGCAAGGACTTAAATGTCTGCACTCAAATCTGTAATCATTTGTCAAATGTTCAAGAGTTAATGGTAACATGCACCAGATCCACTATGCATGGAACTCCTATGCAGAAGTTAACACCAAGAAATAGATGGCTGATGAAAGCCAGGTAAACAGGGTAGATTTCATTCTTCCACAGTTCCTATGCTGTTTCCCAGGTGGTGCCATATCTGAACCACTACAAGATTATGCAGTGGTTAGAATTGAAGCTCTTCTCACTTTACCTTCATAATCAACACTGAAGTGATGTAACCAGTTCATGATAGGAACCAAGTAATTAAGTCAGTCAAGATGATCAAAGATTATCTACTTCCACATAAAATTCCTGAAGAATTTAAATTGCAAATAACCAATGGATTTGCACTATTGAATTCAATTAACTGTCAATCAGAAGAACTGTAGGGATCCAAACCAGAGATGATATTATGAAATAATTCAAAAAGACAATACCTGTAGCAAAAAGCAACATAGAAACAGAGTCAGAAGGGGCCTCCCAGATCATCTGATCCCCAGCTCCAGCCAGCTCCACTCATGACTTGCTTACCTTGTGCATGCCCAGCCTGTCCTCAGACACCCTCACCGATAGGGCTTCAACCACCTCCCATGGAAAGCCATTCCATACCCTAGGGGTCCTAACTGTCGGGAAGTACTTCCTGGCATCCACCTTGAATCTTGGTTCCCTGAGTTTTGCTCCATTAGAACGTGTCCTGCCCTCATCCACAGGGGCAAAAAGTCTCAACCCACCTCCACATGACACCCTCTCACATACCTATATGTCGCTAACATGTCCCCTCTGAGTCTCCTCTTCTCCAGGCTGAAAAGATCCATTTCCTTCAGTCTCTCCTCATATGGCTTACCCTGCAAACCAGCCACAAATTCTGCCAAGCATAGCCCCTCCAAGAGATTCCTGACATATGTTGCCGACAACTTTCTCCAGCAGAAAGTAGAGAAAGGTACAAGAGGATCAACTATCCTTGATTTAATAATTAACAGGGATGGCCTGGTGGACAAAATTACAACCAGGGGAACACTGGAGGAAAGTGACCATGCACTACTTGAATTCTTAAATATAAAGGAGACTAAGGGTTACAGGAGCCATACAAGCATCCTGGGTTTCAAAAAAGCCAACTTTAATCAGCTCAGAAAAATGAGAACCAAAGCGCCATGGCAATGCATGCTAAAGGGGAAAGGCATCCAAGAGGGGTGGGAAATCTTGAAAAAGAAGATGCTACAAGCACAACTATGAACAGTTCCATCAAGAAAAAAGTGTAGAAGACAGCAGAGGAAGCCCACAAAAAGTTAAATTACAGCCTGAAAGAAAAAAAAACATGTGGAAGCAGGGCAAAGCCATGAAAGAAGAATATAAACAAAGAGCAAGAAATTGCAGGAATAGTATCAGGAAGACTAAAGCAGGAAATGAAATGAGAATAGCAAGGGATGCTAAGCACAACAAGAAAACCTTCTTCAGATACAACCAGACATCAGGAAGAGAAGGTGTCCAGCTACTTAAAGTGGATGGCAGAGTGATAACAGATGACAAAGAAAAGGCAGATGCGCTCAATTCCTACTTTGCCTCAGTCTTCCCCCACAAGGAAATCTGCAATCAAGAGGAAGTACAAGCTGGAGTGAGAGATGGCAGCCCAAGCTTGACAGTCAAATGGTCAAGGAATACCTAGATGGAATAAACATTTTCAAATCTCCAGGGCCCAATGAACTCCATCCCAGACTCATAAAAAAACTAGAGGAGAAACTCTCTCAAAACCACTGGCTATTATCTTCAATAAATCTTGGAAAACAGGACAAGTGCCAGACGACTGGATAAAACAGGTGCTCCTGTCAATTGACCCAGGTGATTGACACGATTGCTCCTAAGCATTCTCTCCCACCAAGCAGAGCCTGCACAGTACCTTGGTATATGCCTGAGTTGCAGACAATGAAGCAGGCAGAGAGACAACTAGAACGTAGGTGGAGGAAATCCCGTGCTGAATATGACCGAACACAACTGAAAGCCTATTATCTATTCTTCGCTTCCATTGCATCTTCACAGTGCTGTCCGGCTGAGCTTTTCCAGGTGATGCAAGGTCTGTTACATTCTGGAACAAAAAATGACTTCATCACACCATTGGTGGCTTGCTGTGACGACTTTGCCCAGCACTTTAGGGATAATATTGCTCAGATTCGTCACGAGCTGTATCCAGAACATTGTCCGGTCCATCTTTTTTGGATGAGTTTCAATTGTTGTGGCTTGAGGATGTGGACAAGGAGCTTGGACTTGTCCAGCCTACCACTTGTTTACTTGACCCTTGCCCTTCTTTGCTGCTCATTAGAGCCAAGGATGGGATGCATACCTGGGTCCAGGGGGTTATTAATGCCACACTAAGGGAGGGCTGGATCCCTGCGCCTTTAAAGGAGGTGGTGATCAGACCCATCCTGAAGAAGGCATCCCTGGACCCAGAGGTGGCTGCCAATCATAGACTGGTGGCCAAGAACCTGTTTTGGGGCAAGTTGTTGGAGAAGGTGGTGGCGGGACAACTCCAAGTACTCTTGGATGAAACGGATTATCTGGACCCATTTCAGTCCGGCTTCAGACCCAGTTATGGTCCTGAATCTGCCTTGGTAGCCCTGTACGATGACCTGTGCAGGGAGAGGGACAGGCTGAGTGCATCCCTGTTGGTTTTCCTGGACCTCTCAGTGGCTTTCAATACCATCGACCATGGTATTGCACTTGGGGCATAGGAATGGGTGTAAGAAGTACAGGTTAGGGGACAAGTGACTGGACAGCAGCACGGGGTGCTGGTTGACTGAAGGCTGAACATGAGTCAGCAGTGTAATGCAGTGGTCAAGAGGGCAAATGCCACCATTGGTTGCATAGCCAGAAGTGTGGCTTCTAGACCAGGAGAGGTATTACTACCCCTCTATATGACTCTGGTACACCCGCAACTGGAGTATTGTGTTCAGTTTTGGGCCCCTCGTTACAGGAAGGTTGGTGGCCGGTTTACAGGGGATGCCGTATGAGGCGAGGCTGAGGGAACTGGGTGTCTTCAGACTGGAGGAGACTCAGAGGGGATCTGTTGGCGATATACAGGTATGTGAGGGGGTGTCACACGGAGGTGGGTAGAGACCTGTTCTCCCCTGCAGAGGAAGGCAGGATGCACTCCAACAGAGCAAAGCTCAGGGAACCAAGGTTCAATTTAGATGCCAGGAAGTACTTCCTGACAGTTAGAACCCTGAGGGTATGGAACGGGCTTCCATGGGAGGTGGTTGAGGTCCCATTGGTGAGGCTGTTCAAAGATAGGCTAGACATGCCCATGGTGGGCATGTCATGAGTGGAGACGGCTGGAGACGGGGGTCAGACTAGATGGCCCAGGAGACCCCTTCTGACTCACTCTGTTTCTATGTTCCTATCTTATCCATGACTGTGGTAATCAGTTTGAAGAAATTTAACACATATACCACCTACTTACTGTATCAGAAAAGAGGTGCAGCAATGCCCTCTTGTGTTATAAAGAAACTAATCACAAACCAGCAATTTCTGACTATATTTATCTAAAACTAAACTAGAACTCAGAATAAAACTATCATACACATATTACCTTTCTCTATTATGTCTTTTAAAAGAGAAGTATTAAAATTATACATATGACAAAATCATAAACACATGCAGAAAACTGTTTTTAATCCTTCTGATATTTAAGGGCAGACATGCATAACTAGTACAAGTAGCACATTCTAAAAGTGGGGAATACATCTGATTCCATGTTTTCAGGCCGATATATATTTATTCAGACTTTAATATATATTCTAATTTTCTTGAGTAAATTGTTTAGTTTTTTGTAAGGTACCTGAAACATACATTCATTGTTTTATGAAGTTCCTATATTGCCACAGAATCAGGAAGCACTATTTCAAGATATTACTGAGATTTTTTTTTGTTATTTTAAAAATAGGAAAAATAAGATAGATGACAAACCTGAGTATTAAAAACTCTGGTTTAAACCACGAAAAATATATTAAGTCAAACAGGTCACTGACATGGAAGGGAAACCACATGGACTATAATGCATCTGTACTGAATCCTTATTCTCCTTGTGACTCTCAGGAGGAAGATATCTGACCCTTTCTTTTCATTCTGAAACTCAATTTCTGAGTACTTACATGAATTTCCAAAACTTAATTTTAATTAAGTCATGTCTTTAGAATTAAACCTTAAAGTAATCTCAGTGGAAAAGAAATATTGCTACATATCCATAGACATTATTTATTATTCTTCAGGAAGTCATACCAATAAAGTTTAGACCTCACAGGTAATTCAGAAGAACAAGCAGCAATGTTATGCAGGTACAAGATTCACAAGTTCTGAGGGGTAACCATACAACAAAAACAAGGGTCCACTGACATTCTATTTGTAAGTTTTCTAATAATATCTGTTAACAGAAGCAAAAATGATTATACACAATATTAGTGACTTTTTCATTCAACTTTCTCAGGTTTCTCAAATCGTGTGAAAACATTATGGGTTGCACTCAGAGTTTTCTTCCACCAGCAGGATCATTCCCCAAGCAAACTTCTGCTGAAGATGGTTTGGTTTGCAGGAAGTAGAAGGAGATAATGTTTGCTCCTTCTTTTCTGCTGCAACTCTCAACACTATTTCCAAAACTATTCTAGAAAGTCTCTATAGCCACCAAAGAAGATGGAGCAGGGGGAGCAGAGACAGCATAGGTACAACAGAGGAAAATGGGATTGGTAAAAATCATGTTCTCCCTGACTCATTGTTGGAAACGCTCTGCTGGAATATAACTTTTTCTGTGAGAGGCAGGTACTGGACCCAATCCTACGATCAGTTACATGCTAGAAAGCAGTGTGTGTCTGTGTATGTGTGATTTACCTACAGAGTTAAATATGAAAATGAAACTTCCCAAATGAAAGCAACTCACCTATCTTGATAAGTAGTAATAGCAATGCTGGGAAGAGTCAGTAAAGGCAAAGTTGTGGGTCTACAAATAGTCTCTCTGTCTGGTGTTCTTCCTTTTTCACCTTGTCTTTGGAACAATGGTGGTAACTGTAAATTACCAGAGCAACCTCTTCTTCCTCTCCAAAGATCTATGCCAAGAGTGTTAGTTGATGCACTGTAAGACTTGCTGAGGCTGCATTCCAAATAATCTTTAGCATTCTGTAAAAGCAAATAGAAATATTAATTATTATCCCTTTCTAATGCTTTAAAAAGCATACTGGTTACAGTGTATAGGTACAAACCTATACATGTTTAGATAGAGAAAAGGCCTACAACTCCCACCATACCTCAGCCAGGAATTTTGGGAGCTGTAGACCTGTAAACACACATAGGATCATGCATTACGTTGCAAACATGATATTGTGTAAAAATTCTTAAATATGTGGTAGACCTTTTTGGCAAGAGGTTGAAGGAGGCAGCAGTCCCCAGTCCACCAGTTCCTGCCTCCTTGCCAACAGTAGGCCAGTCCAGCCTCCAGTAAGGATGACTTCTCCTCATTGCCCATGCTCCCTTGTGAAGGACGAGCTGTCCCTGGTGTCTTCAGAAGTCTGCTCTCAAGCTACACTGGCAAAAATGGTTGTTCCATGTCACTGCAGGCAGGAAAAAGCTTCTGACAGCAGCCCCCAAATGCTGCTAGTGCTCTCTGGAGGCTGCTGGCATCAGAGCTGGCAGGCCATGTTAATACTGGAAAGGGATTTTTGCCACTCTTGCCAAGCGGCTTGCTAGTTGATGGGGCCCTTGTGTAGTGGGTCCTGCTGTCCAGGTTCAGATTATATGACACCCTTGATGGGTGACAACAATGCTCAGACAGCTCATGGGTGTCTTGGTTGAAAAACAACAGCTTCTGTTATCACCAGGAAAGAAGCACCTACATTCCCCAGCAGTCCCCAAAGCTGACAGCATTGCTGTCTTTGCACCACTAAAGCTCACAAGCACCAATGATGATTTGCGAAGGAAGGAAGGAAGCTAAAGCTGCCAGTAGCTCTGCACCCCCTACCCTGCAACAGTACATATTGCCACTTCTGCACCACTGCTAGCAACAAGACCCATCAGAGTGGCTGGTGGGTACAGTGAGCTTTAGTCTCCCCTCCTTCAGCAGCAGACTTCTTCCACATCAACTGAATGTGTATGTATTTGTATGATACATACGAATACAGAATACAGATACACAGAAGCACATTTGTATGCATGTGCTTCTGTGTATGTGCATGTACACATGCCTTTTCCCTGCAAGGAACCCAATGTGGCTTACACAGTCCCCCTCCTTACCATTTTATCTTCACAAAAAACTTGTGAGAGCAATTTAACTGAAAGTCAGTGACTGGCCCCAAGTCATCCAGTGAGCCAAGTGGGGACTAGAACCACATCTCTGAAGTCCCAGTCCTACATGCTAATTACTGCACTACATAGGCTCTCATATTAACTCCCTGAGGGCTAAAGGGGTTGGGCATCCTCTCATAAAACAGTCACTAACTTAGAAGCCCTTAGCAGGGGATAAAGCAAAGTAATACAGAATAAGGTGACATTGGCTACTAGTCATGGGCAAAAGCAGCATGGGCACAAACTGAAAAGGCTGCTCTTGTTCAAGGCTCCCTACACTTACTCATCTAAAAGTTGACAGCCTTGATCCCATCACAAGAGGCAAATATCCATGCACATTTCATCCAATTGTTCCAAAAAATTTAAAACATTATTAGTAGTTCTCTTAATAACTTAATAATTGAATAATAAAAATCAGATTAGAGGCACAAATAGCACAAATTCTCCAGTATCCATTTGTTCAATATATGTGAGTAAATCTGCTTAAAAGGGACTATTACATCTGCAAATTCCATCTAATTCTGATAAATTAAATAGCCCTTTGTTGATTTCCAATGATTTTCTATGAGAGGCATAAGTATTTGGAATTCTGAATTGAGAGTAACACAAGAGTCAAAGTGGGCAACCTCCAAATCAGGGTTTTTTCTGAACAGGGGTCTAAACCAAATCTTATTGTCAGCATGCACTTGTAGTGCATAATTTAATTTCTTCTATTTTGCAATGGTCTCTTATCAACAGATTGACTTTGAAGTATTTGAAAAAATAACAAAACCTGTCTGACCTCAGATCTAGGCAGAGTGAGAGGTTTTTTTTAAGAGTCTTTCTCTTTCCCATTGCCTATGAAATCTTTCACCAAAAGAAAACAGCTAGAATAACTGGAATATAACAAGTAGTACCATGGCACTTTACAAGCTAAAAATATCACCTAGCAGCAACTTCCTCCTTCCCAGTAGCACGACATATTTCTGGAGTTATTAACCTTCTGCAGCTTTGCTTCTTGACTTTTTGAAATTGATGACGTCTATAGTAAAAGCAAAACTGGAGCAGAATTTAGCTGTCTGTTGAAATACTTTTGTTTGCCACATGTATCATACACAATACAGAACAGATAGGTAAGGTGGAAGGGGGCACGCTATTAATCACAGCATGCATAATTGACATGTGTCTTTCAAGGTTTAAGAAATTTTGGGAAAATTTTAATTTCCACAATTAAATAGATGTTACTAGGCCACACCCTGGAAGCAGCCTATACACAATTTTCATGCTTTAACAATTATTCCTCAGTCAGCTTTACACAGTACAGTTATCAAATAAGTCATCTTCTGCTTACAGGAGTTGGCTCTAGATTTGACACAACCCTTAGCAATATCCCCCCTTCCTAAACTGCTGGTCTTTATCAGTGGCACTCTGATCAGCATCAGACATCTTGAAGCTGCCATTTAAATTTCATATAATGTCCTTAAGCAGGCTTCTGTATCCTAATGCCCTTCAAATTGGTTTTGGTTTCCAACCCCTAGCATTAGCAATGCTAGTTTGGGCTGGTGGAAGTTGAAGTTCAATATATCTGGAGAGCACCATATTGCAGAAGCCTACAGAATAACACTACATCAAAGGCACTGTAGGAAAATAAAATGGTAGAATCAGGAGGCTCAGGGGAGGAACCAGCACAGACAACTGCCCAAAGTTCTCATGCTGATGCCAGACTAACCTAAATTCTAATAAGCTCTTAAGCATTTTGTGTGTTCAGTAGATCTAGGTGTCTCAGAGCTATGAACAAACCTACAGTAACTTCCTCAGACATCCTAATGTACAGCATTCCTGTCAAATTATAACTCAAGTAGCACCCACTGCACTGACACTTCATAAAAAAAGAGATCAAATGCGTTTTTCAGAAAACCCTTAATGTTAGTGACTGCATTTGTTGTGACCCACAAAGAGCAGATATTACTATAGCAAGATATATTTTGTCTGAAATGCTACATTTGCACACTTACCCCCTCTGTGGTGACCATCATCACACTCCTGCTTTTCTTCATGATAATGGTGGACTGTTGCCCTCGTTATATGGAGCACTCTTCTCAATTACTTTCTTGCAGACCAAAACACCTAGCAGGAAAGGAGGAGGGAGGAGCTTTTTTCATTCCTTTCTGATTGACCAGTAAGACATTTTATAGTAAACATCATGATCTTTATATGCTGATGTGTTGCAGAAATACTTAGACATAGGAGAATTTCATTCTGAAAATAAAAACTGACTTCAGTTTTAGCAAGGGGGAAGGTTTGCAGAACATAGTTGTTAAAGTCTAGCACCAAACCTTAAAATTGAAAAGAAACACAGAATTTGAATTCTTAATTTTATACCATGCCTCATGAATTAATTTTAAAATTGGACAAGGCCATTTAAGCCATGGGGCCCAACCCCTTGATCTATGCAAGAATCCAGTTTAAAGTATCCTTGACAGATGAGTGCCAGAGCTCTGCCTGAATTCTCCCATCAACAGAGGGTCCACAACCTCTCTAAGAAGCTGGTTCTATTGATTGACTGCTCTGGTCACTGGTATTTTTTTTTCTTCTGATGTTCAACTAAAATCTTTCTTCTTGGAACTTAAGTCCATGTCCTATAGTCTTGGGTAACAGAAAATAGATTGAGGCAACCTTGTGCATTATAATGCTTTAGGTTCTTGAAAAATACTATTATATCCCCCATCAGTTTTCTCTACTCAAGACCAAACATACCTAGTTTCTTCAATCTTTTCTCATAGGATTTGGTTATTTGTCCACTGATGATCTTTACTGCCCTTTTTGAATGTGTTTCAGTTTATGGAGTATGCACTGTTGAGCATCAAGCTGAATGAAGTTTCCAATACTTTATCTGTGACTGCCTAGTACAAAGAGTGCACCCCATCCTTCTAAAAATGGTGTATGCTAGTAACTTATAAATGAGGCCAGGCGCATGGCTGTGTATGCACTTTTGTGTACACATGGATGCATCATAAATACAACAAAAAACAGACACAGGCATCAACTAACATGCCTGATACAAAACTCCTGCCTTTGCCTCTTTGGAATTGTCTTTAGGCATGTCCATCCACCTCTTTGCCTGCCTCTCTGATGAGATACATTATCTTCCTTCCTCCCTTCCTCCCTTCCTCTTTTTGGTAATCTTTATTTAACTAATAATTAAAGTTACAATGGATAAATTATCTACAGGGCCAATAAAATCAAAACGAAGTACCTTAGAAAGGACTTTTGGATCTCTAGGGGCATGTATTCTACTCACAAACTCAAAGACTTGTTAAAACTTTCCTAACCAAGTTTTAACAAAGCAGTCTCTCTTGCTAAGTCAAGTATTATATGTCAAGCACTCTGCCAGATCTTTGTTAATTAACCTTGTAAAGTGAAACTCACAGTTTACTTCCAATGTTGAGTAATTACTAGGTAGACTGCTGCTAACAAAAAGTTTAACCAATCCTTGTAGACTGTTTTTCTCTTAACATTGTCTGAGAGTGATAACAGACCAAGTAATGGGTCAGGGCTAACAAAGTGATAACTGATGTCTAGTTGTTATTGTTTAGTTGCAAAGTCATGCCTGACCCATCATGACCCCATGGAAAACATTCCTCTAGACCCTCCTGTCCTCCACCATCCCCCAGAGTCCACCCAAGCCCATACCCACTGCCTCAGTGACTCCATCTATCCACATCATCCACCACCGTCCCCTTCTCCTTTTGTCGTCAGTCGTTCCCAGCATCAGGGTCTTCTCCAGTGAGTCCTTCCTTCTCATTAGGTGGGGTTTCATCTTCAGTATCTGGCCTTCTAAAGAGCAGTCAGGGTTGATCTCCTCTAAGACTGACTGGTTTGATCTCTTTGCAATCCAAGTGACTCGCAGGAGTCTTCTCCAGCACCATAATTAAAAGGCCTCAATTCTTCGGCGCTCAGCCTTCCTTATGGTCCAGCTTTCACTGCCATGAATTGCAACTGGGAAAACCATAGCCTTGACTATACACAATTTTGTCGGCAGGGTGATGTCTCTGCTTTTTAGTATGCTGTCTAGATTTGCTATAGGGTACTGGTCGACTGCCGGCGAAACATGAGTCAGCAGTGTGATGTGGCAATCAATAGGGCAAACGCCATCCTTGGTTGCATAGTCAGAAACATGGCTTCAAGATTGTGAGAGGAATTACTGCCACTCTATATGATTCTGATGTATCCGCAACTGGAGTACTGTGTTCAGTTCTGGGCTCTACATTACAGGAACGATATAGCCAGGTTGAAATTGGTGCATCGTAGGGCCACAAGAATGGTGGCTGGTTTGCAGGGTAAGCCATATGAGGAGAGACTGAAGGAAATGGGTCTTTTCAGCCTGGAGAAGAGGAGACCCCGAGGGGATTTGTTGGCAAAATATAGGTGCATGAGGGAGTGCCTCATAGAGGTGGTAAGAGACCTGTTCTCCCCTGCAGAGGAGGGCAGGGAGCTTTCCAATGGACCAAACCTTAGGGAACCAAGGTTCAATTTGGATTCCAGGAAGTACTTCCTGACAGTTAGGATCACTACAGTATAGAAAGTGCTTTCACGGGAGGTGGTTGAAGCCCCGCTGGTGAGTGTGTTCAGGGATAGGCTGGACATGCACATGGTAGGCATGTCATGAGCAGAGCCGGCTGGAGTCAGGGGTCAACTGCATTGGCTGCTTGTTACTGCCAGGCTCAATTCAAAGTGCTTATGCTAACATATGAAGCCTTAAACAGCTTGGGACCAGGATATCTAAAGGCATGCCTATATCCATATATCACTACCAGACCACTCAAAGCCCTCCTTCATGAACCCTCCTGCAAATGAAGTGAATGGGGAAGTAGCTAGGAAAAGGGTCTTCTCTGTTTGCACCTTACCTTTGGAATTCCCTTCCAAAGGAGGTGCAACTGGCACCCTTATTATTTTGTTTTCATTGCTAAATAAAGACATTTTTATTTAGTATTTGTTTTTAGAATTATGTTATTTGGTTTTTTGCTGCTGGTTTTATTGTTTATTTTTTGATCCTCCTATTTTTGCACTTTATATTAGTATGATTTTATGTGGTTTTTAACTGTTATTGTTTTATTTATTGTTTTTTATGTCAGCTGCTCACATGTATGCTATGTGAGCTGCCCAGGAAGTCTCTGGACTACGGGGCAGCATACAAACATAAATGCAAAGTCCTACTTGGTCATGTCACTCACTGCCTGTGACAAAGAACAGTAGAGCCTTTTGCTGCCTTTGCTGAGTGACTTGCTAGTCAATCCCTTTAAGCTATGATGGGACAACATACCATCCAATCATGGGTCAAACAAGCCTTGAATTGTCAGAAAATAAGCTTTCCTGTGGGAAGGTGTTTGAGTTCACATGACATGACAAGCCTCCGCAACCATTTACCCATGATTGAATATGTCATATGAACTCAGTTCATGTAAGATTCTTTTAAGATGTAATAAATGTATATTATTACATCTTATTACATCATTGTTAATCAAAGTTACAACATATTTTATGAAGACAAGTTAATAAATGGCTCCCACAAAGTATAACATTGCTGAGTTTATTTTTAAGACTAAGGGAATATATTATGTAAATTTCTTGTTTAAAATACCTGTAAAAAGTGATGTAAAATTGGAAAGATAATACTTAATAAAACAGTTCTATCCCATCTTTTCACTAAATGTCTCAAGATGAAGAATTGTCTTTAAATAGTACTATAAATATACAGCATTAAGTAACTGGCATGCCAGCAAAGCAGAAGCCTGTAAAAAGGTGTTGTTATAACCACCACTCAGAACCACGCTTTCTTTTTTTAACTGTTCTGGAAATTCATGAATCAGTTAGTGGCTTACTTTCTACAGCAACTTCCCTGTATTGAAATACCCCTTTCAGCTGGCTACTTGTTATATCAGACAAGATAGAGTGACCTAGGGAGTTGCTTTACCGAGGAAATTCCTCTATGTGTTCTCCTTTAGAGGAAGAGCTGTCAAAGTCAAATTCATAGGTAAAGCACCACAGAAAAGGGTATCCAAAGGCCTTGAAGTTCCCCATCAACATTGCACATCTAGTCCTGGACTGAGCAGGCCCACAGGACACCTGGTCACAATCTTCCCTTCTATGGAAAGGTTGATGGTTTGTCTATGTAAATGCTGATTACTATTTCTAAATGTTCATGTAGCAATACTTCTAGTACATGCAAATATATGGCCTCTTTCTTGGTGCTGCATTTCCCCCTGCCCCCTTTCGTTCTTCATAAGTCGCCACACCAAAAACATATTGGCCTGCCTGTTAAACAAAACTAAGCAATTACTATACTATCTCTGAATGTTGTGATGACATTTCGGACACATATGATGCAGGTTTTATTTTCCCCAGTTGTTTTCATGGTGAACTTCAGGTTTTCAGAAGACTTTTATGGTATCAAACTATGTCATTTATGACCCAACTTCCACCAGTCCAACCACTTCCTAAACTGAAGGTTTGGGCTAGCCAGGCAGGTACTAAAGTTCTTTTGAAATTCAAAGCACTTGTCACTGCTATTTCTGACTAGTATATATACCATATTTTTCGCTCTATAAGACGCACTTTTCCCCCCTCAAAAGTAAGGGGAAATGTCTGTGAGTCTTATAGAGCAAATGTGTGTGTGCCCGACGCCCGGGACACTGCCGGCCACCTGCACCACGTGGCACCACCTGGCCGACACGCGCTCGGCGTGCCCTGCTCCTCCCCACCCCCTCCGGCGCAGGTGAGAGCTGTGCCACTCAGGAGGAGGCATGTGGAGGAGGAGGAGCCGTGGGCTTTAACCCGCCGGCCACATGGAGAGATGGACTGCTCACCCCCACCGCCCGGGAACTGCTCACCCTCACCACCTGGGAAGACCTGCCGCCGCCGCCCCGCCAACCCGCCGCCCGGAAGACCACTGCCGGCACACTGCCAGCCCCACGTGGCACCACCTGGCCAGCACGCGCTCAGTGTGCCCTGCTCCTCCCCCTCCTCCGCGCAGGTGAGAGCTGTTAATCACAGGTCG